CCCACCCTCATTCAAGGCGGAGACTGGCTCTGGTGGGGTGGGGGTGGGATGGGGGGCGCTGTCTGTTTGACCCTCTGAGACCCCGGACTCACCCACATCCCAGTCCCCTCTCCTCCCCTGCCCTACCCCAGGCTCACCCCAGGGCCTTCCAGGGATCCCAAACCCCTGCCCTCTGACTTCCAATCTCAGGTCACCTGCCCTGCAGTTTACCCTGGGAATCTGGAGTGCAGAGGGCAGCTTCATTTTCTCCTGGGCAGTCATGCACTTCCTTCCCGGCCAGTGTGGATTGGATGGCCAAGACCCCATCATGCTCCTAACAGCATCCTCAGGCCTCTCATACTCTACCCTCACCCCCACCGCCTCTCTGATCTTCCCAGGCAGCTGGGCACCCCACCCACTGGGGCATGTGGCCCTGGGCCAGACAAAATTTGTGGTCTCCATTCACACTAACACGAATATTCCAAAACTCACCTTTTTTTGAGACCCTCAGTTCCAACCCAGAGCCTCACTAGCAGCCTCTTCAGTCGCTCAGAAGTGTTACTGAGGCCAAGCCTGTGCCACTTACCACAGGACATGCCAATAAGTCTAGATCCCCTTGTCGGGGCAAGGAAAGTGACATTATTTGCAAAGCTAGGCGACTGAGATGGTGGACTAATGTCCTAAAACTCCATGCTAACTTTATGCTAGAAAAAGGGGGAGCTGGAAGTGGAGTAGGTTAGGAGGTGGCTGAAGGCTGCAGACATGTGGGCACCAGCGAGGCTCTGAGGAGAGCTGAGGAGCTCCGTGTCCTGGGTTAGCTGACTCTCGCCGACCTGGGTCTGGTCACAATGTTCCTAAAACTCTTTGGCAAGGAATCATGAATTTCATACATACTTCTCTATACCCGGAGGAGGCAAGCTTCATGTAAGGAGCTATTTGCAGAAATCTCAAATTGTAAGCCAAATTCCTTTTGATGATCCATAAGCCTGAGTGCAGGGCTGAGCAGAAGCCCTTTTCCTTTTTTTTCTCGTTTGGCCCTAAGATGAAGGCAGCAGAGGAGACAAGGAGCTTGGAGGCAGAGATGCCATGCTTTTACGATCTGTTAGCAAAGGTGCTGTGTCCCTTGACTCCTTGCAGTCCTCAGGGCACCTCCAAACCTCACTACTCAATACCATCCTCACCATTTCTTTAGGAATCAGAGTGCCTTGTGTTCAAGGTCAGCCTGCTCACCATGGCTCTGGGCGGTAGGCCCTCCCTGCGCCATGCTGCCTCCTTCATCCTTTTACATTCCTGCCCTTTGTATTTGCTGTGTTTCTTTACTTGTCTCTTTCCCCTGACTGCTAGATTTCTCAGAATCAGAGTTTTCAGTCTGTTTTCTTCCAGCATCCTCACCTCTCACTTAGTCCTCAGCCCATTCCTGGAATGTCTCTGCCTTTATTGTCCTTTCCTTTGCTACTATTCCCTCTTTTTCATTTTCTCTGGTCCCTTGACTTCTCAGGCCTTACTACCTGATTCCCCTCTACTTCAGGGTAACTCTTTCATTCCTCTGGGCCGCTCTCAGGCCACCCATGCTCTCTTCATCCCTGACACACAGGGGTTCCGTAAGGTACTCCCTGGGTGCCTGCTTCACTGCCCCCTGGGTGAACTCGCTCTGGACATGGAGCTGCCAGTTATATGATTCTGCTTCACAGAACAGCGTGTCTGCAGCCACTTGTTTGACATCTCCACCTGAATCACCTAGAAGCAACTCAACACCTAGGGGTCTAAAGCTGAGGCCCCCATCTTCTTTTCACTCTGTCCTCTAACTCAGTGGGTAGCAGCCAGCCCTAACATCAGAACTGGAGGACTCAGCCATCTCTCTCAGGCCCCCATGTCTGCTCACACTGCTGGTTTCTCATTCAGACCCCTTCACATCTTGCCTGAGCTCTGCAGAGCCTCCAGTGGGATCTCTCTGCCTTCTGTCCTGTCACCTTCCTATCCCTTCTCCATCCTGCCTTCATAGTACAAACCTGACTGTGTCAGACCCCCACTGGTCTCCCTCCTATCAGAGGGTCTCACACAGGCTTCTTGCCTGGTAGATGTGGCCCCCTGTGACTGGCCCCAGTTCCCCTCCCTGACATTATTTCTTGCCATCACAGGCCTTGCCCTTTATCCTCTCTGGCATACACCACAGTGTTTCTTTTGCAAAGAGTGTCATTGTTCCTTTTCATTTCTATTTTGCCTTCTCATCTTTAAGACTTGGCACAATAATTCCTCTTCCCAGAAGCCTCTCTGTCTACCACTTCTTCTGGGCCTACCTAGCACCTGTGGCCTTGTCCCACACAAGTGACCCCATACAGGTGATTGTGTATTTACTTCTGTCTCCCCTGCTGGACAGCAGGGTATCTGTTTGGTACACCTCTGTCCTGCCTGCCTCAGGCTCCAGGTTGGGAATGGAGTGGAGATTAGGGACTACTTGGTGAATGAATGAATTAACTAATTACTGAAAAATGCACCTCTTCACTGTCATCTTGTCAAGACTTTTCGCTTCATCTCTGTTCCTTTTTTCTCTTCCAAGTTACAGAGAAAACACCACCAAACCAGGTGGATAGGGTGAACCCCTGCTTCAGGAAAACTTCAGCTCTTGGGGGGGTTATGTTCTGAGGAGGGTCACATGGATAGTGTTTCTGGGTCTGTAGGAAGCAGGAATTGAATCAAAAGGGCCTGCTTCATAAAGAAGAGTCTTTGGCTGCCAGGACATAGAGACTTCACAGTGTAGAGCTGAGCACCTGGCCTCCTGTGGGAAGGCAGAGCCTCTGTGAACTCAGTCCGAGCTGCATCCCCCAGGGGACTGTCCGGGAGTGATGAAGGCCCTTTCCCACACACAGCTTTTGGGCCCTAAACTGTTCAGTTGCACGTGAGCCTCCTGGGCCCTGTGGCAATGTCTGCAGAGCCTGGTTTTCTGAGAGCTCGGGGATGGAGGGCTGGCTATCACTGTCATGGGTGCACCCTGAATGGTCATGGATTGTTTGG